AATAAGGCTTGACAGGAAAGATAGTTTAAACTTCAAATAAATGTTAGTTAAAATAAATATAAACCCTACATTTGCCGCTGCCAGAATTTGGAAAACTTGGAAGCAGGTCCTACAAACGACCTGTTGAAAGGTTTCTACAATTCTGAACTAAATTTTAAAAGCCTCGTTTACATAAAAAAAAAATCTTATCTCACAAAAGGTATAATAAAATTTCTGTGTATACTTAATTAAATCTCTCTTCTTACAGCAACTTTTCCTGGACTTCAGCAATCAATCTTGTTCTTTTCCTTCCAACATCTGGAAGGAATAAGTATCAGTATCTTTCTAAATACATTATAATTTACACTTTCTTGACACTGAATAAATTTTTGTTTTTAAACGATTTATTTTCCTTAGTTACTGCTTAATTCACATTCATTCAAGTATTCAAACATGAATTTAACTTTACCCTGGCTCTCCACCATGTGTGGTGTCAAACGGGAATATTCGTGTTTCAGTATTGCAACACTTCCCCTAACCACAATGATTTGTTAGAATTCAACGACCAAATAGACACACCTTACTCGACATTCTACAACTCGATGAGCTACTTTAACATTCTTAAAATTCAAGTGTAGGTGGAGAACCCTACAAAACACATTCATTCAAACTTCCCCCTCATTCATCTTTAGACATGCAGGCTTTCGCTCTAAAGCATGATTTTATCTCCAGTTTAATCCTTAAATTTGAATTCATTGCTTTTGAGCATTTACTTTTAGAATCTAAAATTTTATGCTTCTAGACTAAATTCTACTTTTACATAACTTTGAAGTATTTACGTATATTTACAAAATTCTAATACATATGATTTTTACAATTTACCATAAAATGAATAAGAGAAAAATAAATTTTTACTTTACTCATTGTTCGCCAAGCTGGCGGCACTGAAACTAAAGTTCTTATTAATACAAGAATACGAAGTTATTTTTATCTTCGGCCAAATTTTGGCTTTAACACAACAGAATTAGTTTTTCGACCAACAGAAACTGCTTGCTCTTAGATTTTATAGTTAAAGAAAATAATACTTTTGCCTTAGCTAAATAAAGTAAAACAAAACTAAGTCTCAACCGAGACAAATTGACTTCCGTGAAAACATAGAACTTCGTATTTACGCATAACATTTCGGAACAAAAGAAAAAAAAATTATAGAAGATTTTAACTTATCTTTGAGTTTTCGATGATTGGAACTCCGACATCCTCTTCTGGCAGAACTGCTCCCACGTTATAGGTTTCATAGACGTCAAGTCGTTCGTCCTTAGTGTCCTTCGAGTGTTCGTCCACGTTGCTTTTTCTTTTTCACCCTCTGCATGCTGGCCTCTTGGAGTGGTAGTCGTCGGGTTGCTGTCTTTTCCGTTTTGCCCCTGAACGGCTGGTCTTGGATTCTTCCGGTCTGGAATCATGTTTGAATTTCTTCTGTTGGTGGTGGTCTTTTCGTTCCTCCTGCTGTCTTTTCGTTCTCGGGAACGGCGGCCTTGTTTGCACCTGACACTCTGGCCCTGGAAGCGTTCTCCTCGATGCAGAATTTCTACTGCGATACGTTGTAAGTGGTGTTTTTCTCTTTACCAAAGCTTCTTTACGCGGCAGCGTTGCTTTCTTGTATCTCTTAAATGCTGGAGTCTGAACCTTTTCATTTTTTCTTTTCGGTACCGTCGCATGACTTGTAGAAGGGCGAGGTTTTTCTTCACTTCTCTGCTTCTTGGGTGGTGGAGCGGGTGACGTTACTTCTTGACCTTCCACTTCTTTTACGCTTGAGTCCTGCAAGAAACTTTTAAGGATTTCAAAATCATTTTGTTTATAATATTTTTTCACCTGGTCGGGACTTGCTTTACAGATTTCCCCTCTCTCGTTCTTAAGGTACAATACGACTTCCTTGATTTCCTGAATTACATAGGGGCGATCAAATTTTGGAGCTAACTTTGCAGTAAAATTGTCTGGGGCACTTGATAAAGAAAATTTCCGCTTCAACACTTTATCTCCAACTTTAAAATCTGCTTCACGGCGTTTTCTATCATAATAAACTTTTTGTCCTATTTCTTGCCGTATCCGAGCTTTTAACCGCCTGGTCAATAAGTTTTGGTACATCTTTCTGTTTAAATTCTTGCTCTCTTTGTTGCACAAAGAATAATTTATCTAAAGGCGTAATTAACTTTCGGCCTAAAAATAATTCTGCTGGGGTTTTTCCCGTAGTATCGTGATTTGCCGTTCTTAAAGCATAAGCTAACTCATTTATGTAGCCATCCCAGCGCTTGTGATGTGTGCTAACGTAACTGCGAATTATTTTTACAATGTTTTTATTAACTCTTTCTGCTATGTTTGCCTCTGGTCTATACGGAACCATTTTGATATGGCGTATGCCAAGTCCATATTTCACTAATGAATTGTTTACCGTTATCGCTAATGACTTTTATCGGTGCACCCTATTTTAAAATGTATCTGTGTAAGAATGCATCTGCGACTGTTTTGGCTGACGCGCGTTTAAGTGGAACAATTTCTGTCCATTTTGAAAAATGATCTACAATTACTAAAAGAAAACGATTTTTATTTAACTCGCACTGGGGGAAAGGACCAAGAAGATCGATGCCTAAAATTTCATTCGGAAATGTAGCGCGAATGCTATTTAAGTACCCGGCCGGGCTGTAATTAATATCATTTATTAACTGACATTGATTGCAGGACCTGACATACGCAGTTACTATTTTGTATAATTGCGGGAAATATACCGCCTCGCGTACCCTTTTTAAAGTCTTTCTGACCCCTAAGTGACCCGCTGTTTTCGCGTCGTGTAATTCCTTCAAAATGCTTAATCGAAGCGAGGGTGGGATGACTGGTTTGTACTCGAGGTTTTCGTTTGTTGTTTTCGTATAAAATAATAAATTATCTATTATTTCATAGTTTTCGGCTCTATTTCTTATCACATCGATATCTGTGTGCTCAAAGCTTTCGGGGTCTTTCAGATATGCATAGATACTTCCAAATTCAGGATCAGCTTTCAATTCAGCAATAATTGTTTCTCTAGAATCTAAAATTTTTGAAATCAACACAGCGCATTTGAGTTCATTTCCTTCATCGTCCAGTTTTATACGAGAAAGTTCGTCAGCTACATTGTTTTCCTTACGCGGTTTATATTTAATTATGAGATTATATTCTTGAAGTTTTAAAGACCATCTTATTAACCTGGGCGTTAGGGTTTTCCCCTAGTAAAGTCTACCAACAGCCGCATGATACGAAAAGACAGTTACTGGCGCTTTGCCGAAATAAACTCGAAATTTGTGTACAGCCATTAATACGGCTAATGTTTCTCTCTCTGTAGCTGCATAATTCCTTTGTGTAGGGTTCAACGTTTTACTAAAAAATGCTAAAGGATGGCCATTTTGCATGAGAACCGCACCCACAGCATAGTCCGAAGCATCTGCTGCAATTTCCAGGTTTTCATCCCCCTCCGGGAATTTCAAAACAGAGGCATTGATGAGCGTCTTTTAACCTTTCAAATCCGGTATTTGGTTCTGCTATCCACGTGAATTTACTTTTCTTTCTTTTAATTACTAACAAGTGTTCAACAATATTAGCAAAATCTTTTATGAATGACCGATAATAAGAACATAACCCAAGGAAAGAAGAAAGTTTTTTGGCGGTGTTGGGAGGTGGGAAATTCTTGATGGCTTTTATTTTTGAATCTTGAGTTTCTATAGCCTTTTGCGAAATTTTATAACCCAGATATTTAAGTTCTTTAGTTGCGAACTTGCATTTTGAGGCGTTAATTGTAAGACTGGCCTCTTTTAATAATTTAAAAGTTTCTTCTAGATCTTTAATATGTTGTTCCAACGTACTACTCGTTATAATTATATCATCTAGATAGATTAAAGTCGATTTTCCTAGGACAGGCTTTAGAACAATGTCCATAGCTCTCTGGAATGTTGATGCGGCCCCACACAGCCCAAAGGGCATGCGTAAAAATGCATAAGTGCCCGATTTTGTTATAAACGCGGTTTTATGTATGTCTTCGGGTCTCATAGATATTTGATAGTAGCCAGACGTTAAGTCCAAAGTAGTCATGTATCTTGTAGATTTAATCTTTCTAATAATTTCCTCTATAACCGGCAAAGGGTAAACTGGGAATTTAGTAATACTATTAAGTTTTCTGTAATCGATAGCAAACCTCCAAGCCCTTTTATCCGAAGGAGGGAAACTCGTTTCTTTTTCTTACATAGTACGACTGGACTCGCGTACTCACTATTTATGGGCGTTTTTATTTGGTTCTTTAACATTTTCCTGAATATGTTCTTCTATGATTTGCTTCTTTCTGTTTATCATAGCGATAAGGGTTTAGTCCTACAGGGTTTGTCGGCAGTTAACTGTATCTCATGCGTAACTATTTGACAGACTACCAGGCCGTTCTGAAAAAACTTTTGAAAAAGTACTCACCACTTGCTGGATGGCTTGGCTTTAATGGTCATTCAAATGGCTAAGGTCGACTTGCGGTTGTTCCACTGGTTCCACCACCCTCCGATCCATCTCCAGCACGTAATAATCACAGCACATTTATAATCATTATAAATTAGATACATTTAATAATTAGATTTCTTCAGAGTTGTTTATAAATGAATAATTTCTTTATTTCAAGTACATTTATAAATAATTTAATGAATATTTATGTATTTTGTTAAAGGCAGATACATGCTTTTTGCTAGCACATTCATAAATACCCATACATATTTCATATTGTTTATTTCCGGCATTTAAATACAGTTTTATTTCAGTTTATTACAAACGAATGCAAAATTTGAAAGTGTATTTTGTGCATTTAAACAACACATGCAGTGTGTAAATTATTTCAAACTGCAAAGACCAGAATATTCAGTTTCTTTTTTAATTCTTTTTTATCCCCCCCTCCATTTTTTGAGTTCAGAAACTAAACAACTAAACGCTTGACTGGAAGTATTTGCCCTTGTAACTGTGACTGCAAGTTTTATCGAAGTAGGCGGTTAGTTTAAATAGATAATGTACAAAAAATGTACCGCCAAATTTATCATAAAAGGCGATTAGTTGTTTAATATAAGTATATGGAATAACACATTAGTCACAGTCTGCTCTAATGTCGTGATTATTTCACTTATTTTTACATATTACGCTTTTAAATTCGCTAAAGAAGCAAAGGCCGCGAAGGTTCAACGTGTACGGCTGATAATGCTTTATTATAATCTATGAAAATTTTTAACATCGTTCTGTGATGTATATTTTTTATTTGTGCCAGGTAAGTAGAAGTGTTTTAACTAGTTCAAAGCCAATTATATAATCGTAAAATATTTTGACAACCGTAATTAAAGAACTTTTTTGTAATTTAAACATTCAGAATATTATTAATGGTTTCGCGAAACAAATACTTCAGATTATATTAGGTTAAAAACGTGTCACTTGAAGATGGAATATAAACTATCAGTCTGTCTTACAGAAGATTTCTGATGTGTTATATAGTTTGTGTATTGTTAATACTGTAGGCATTTTGTAAAATAATAACACATTTCTGTTAAATACGTGCCTATTTATTAGGCCATATTTTGCTGAGTCATCGCAAATATTTGCAGTCGTAATATAGCCTTTGTATTTTAGTTGAGAGATGAAAGTCGTAGATCATGCGTTTAATGTTAAAAAATATTCTAATGTTATTAATAATTTCCCCTCCCCCTTCCCCTGTTTAGTAACAAAGACTACAGTTCAAATTGTCTTTAAAATCTTTAATTTAAAGAGTGGAAGTAATCTGCTGTTCTTTTCTCTGCCTTCTTGTCCTTGTATATTTCATACCAAAAAAAACATTAAAGTTTATCTTAAGTTATTACATTTTCTTAATCTTGTTGAAGATATATAGAGCAGATAAAAGAAATAGATGTTTGTTGATTCAAAGATTAAATAAATATATAAAAAGTATTTCTCATGTATATTAGCTTTGAAATTTTGTCCATGCTAGTGAAAATGTTTGGCTAGAATATTTTTAACTAGATTCACTTTAAAGAATTTGGTTTAATAAATCTGAATATTAAATCTCAAAGGAAATCTGGTGTTATATTATTTTGCTATAACTTTTAAAAATTGGATCAAGTTTTAATTATTTTTTCCTCTAATTTTTCTGTATGATAAAATATTTAAGTTAAAAAAAAAACACTTAATAATGATTTTAGTGTTTAATTATTAAAATTACTAAATTTAAATTAATACTAAAAATGCATTCTGTTGACATTATTTTCCTTCTCTATATATACATGTATTCATGCAGGGAAATTACAGAAATTTATTTTTATTGTCTTTTATTATTTTTAACTGAGTTAATTTTAAATTAATTTAGTAAACAGGCTGGTACATTGCCATTTTCAAGATATTCTTTATGTATAATAAGAATATAAGCAAGTTTCAGTTAAAAAGTCTATTTAGACATCTAGCCAATTAATGAAATCCACAATCAACTAAACAAACATGTTAAATTGAAAATAGTATTTTTTTTTTTTTTTTTTTTTTTCATTTTATACATTAGTTAATTTGGATATGGCAAAGCACACAAGGGTTGTCTGCCTAAAAAGAGGCATGGATTATGAAGGACTTAGTAAAGGGAACTGGCTTGTATTCATGTTTCGCCTGAGAAAAACCATTTAAGCCAACAATGCAGCCATCCCATTCACCTAGGATCAAACCCAAGTCAAATTCTCTTCTTCAGCAGTCTTAATGACTTGGCTGCTGGTGGGGGGATTTTAAATTAATATTTTTCTTTATTATAAGGTAACATTTGGTGTTAAGAGATTTTGACTTTTTAGGATGAATATCCAGATGTTAAATGTTCCCTATGTAAGTGTTAGTACTAGTGATATTGTGTTTTTATCTGTAATTTTGAACATTTTGATCTCAAACTTGTCAGTTTTGTGATTTTTATAATCAGGGCCTGAATGATTGATAATTTGTAGCTAAGGTTATAGTTTTTGTTATGTAAATACTTGACCAAATATGAACTTAATACAGTTCATAGACTGTCTTTCTAAATGTTTCTAAGTATGCCTTTATGTTATAGCATTAAGTAAAACCGTAGTAATTATTCGAAGATAATTGAATTTTTTTTTTTTTTGGTTTTACTTAATACTATTTATGAAAATTGCGATAGTATTATGATTATGCAATATTATTTATGATTTTTTTTAAACTGCTGTACAGTCTGTCTATCATAAGAAAAGCTATCGCCAGTTAGTCTGTAGCTGTCTGCTTCTGTAGAAACCAGCTTTGAAACATTTTCTGTAGGGGTGTCCACAAATGATAAATTCTTTTCCCCTCTGCCAACAGTTGCCAAAAACAAAATAATAGTAAAGCAACCCTTGGTTCACCCCTGTTTGAAATATACTAGCCCTGTTGCTATAGCGACCACCGCCCACGAGACCCTGTGGCAGGAGCTGTTCTCTTAGACAGACAGTACTGATAATTCATTTTTAAAATTAAATCACTGACTGTTAAAAGGACATGTCAGAGTAATGGAACTACTCTGATATGCGCCCTCAAGTCGCCAAACATTTTTGGCGAGAAACTCTGCGCTGCCATATAACTATCTAAATGTTTTGTCTACATTTTGAACTTTAAGCCTAAAATGTCTCCAAAAACGCGGTTTTCGCACATGCAAAAACCACGTTTGAACATACAATTTAAGCTAAAAATCCGAAACAAAAACAAAAAATTTAGATAGCAAAAATGTAAAGTTTCTAACCAAAAATATGTGACAAGAATCCGTGTACACAGCGATATGTTTTAACTTAAAAAAACATCTACAAATTGCACAATTTAGACGCTATGCACTAATCAACAAAATAAATTAAAATAACTAAAATAAATTTTAAACAATTCCAAAAAAAAAAAAAAAACAATAACGACAGAAATTCATACTAAAAAAAACAATGAATATAACATTAAACAAAATAAGAACAAGAATAAAATAAAACTCACCATGAATTAATGCTTTTTAGAACAGCACAAATACCAATTTCATACCACTACGTAATCACTATCGTATTTATATGACAGCCAGGCACACTATCCAGAAAATTCATAGGATGGTTCACAAATAAACAAAATCGCAAATAATCACAAATCCCTACTTCTATCATGCATAGCCACTAAAAATAATCTCCCAGAGCTTCTTTCCACACCTCCAAATACCCACTGCCCCTCAACAGGATGGCCACGATGATATTTCCTTTTGTCAAACTTCAATTCAACAAGTTCCACCATTTTATCTTCGCGAGCTCCAGCGTAAGATTTTTCAACGTCAATAGGGTTACCATACCACACGCAATCGTGCCAAAAACCAGCGCAGAACACTTATCGCCACATTTGGTGAAATCAGGGCGTATATCAGAGTTGTACCAGAGTAATATATCTGTTTTAAATTATAATTGTTTTAAGAATAAAGCTACTACTATGTAATCATGTACTACTACTGTTATGAGGCAGCCTGACTTAAATGAGCTGCCAAACACATATATATATACATGCTTTAAATTTAATATTAAGTACAATTTTAATTTTCTTTAAACTTAAACATACTAAAATATCAATATATTGAACTAAATATTTCCCTATCAGCTGACTGAATAGTGATTATTCAGCCAAAACTAAATATTCATTACGTCACTAATGTTTATTGATGCAAACTAAATTTCCTACTCTTTTCTTAGTTATCTAGGACTTAATTTCACATTAAATCTAGTACATATAGAAGAGTTAAGTTCAAAATTTGTGTTCACAGGGATTAATGATCATTTTGATTAAAAATTGCTGATGTGATAATTTGTGGAAACCGTGTCTATATATATTTCAAAATTTCTGATTGGTAAGCATGTAAAATATATGTACCAAGAGGAAATTATTTTGGTTAGTCTATATGTTAGGGTATCCTTTGGATTATTGCCAAGTTGCTGTTTCATTTATGGTAACCTGAGTAGTTGAATGTTGTAGAAACCTTATTATGACGTGATTGGTTTTAATGCATGATTGCAGTGATTTGACTAATAGAAAAGTATTTGTAATGTCTTATTTATGTATTGGATGGTAGTTAGGAAGTATGTTGCTTATTTTGTACTATACACCATAAAATGCCTGCTGGTGATATAATTAACCTGAGGTTTCTGTACATTTTGGAGTGCCTGTAAAAGAAAACATTGATTGACCGGTGTGTAAATGAAGATTTAAATGGCTTCGTGCATCTCTCAGTAAATTACGCATTAAATTACAATTTAAGGATTTGGAAACCGGAGCTCATATCAACGCTATGGAAGTTATTTGGGATGTAATGAAAAGGGATTTTTGAAAGAAATGGTACCGACAGTCTGGAAGTACAGAGGATATTTTTCGTTTTTACTTTTGTGAATTTATGTGGTGACAGCAGTATGCGGATTCTAGTTTAGGTAATTTTAAATAGTTTTTGGATGCTGTTACGGAAGTCTGTGTGTCACACATACCGAGGAAACAGACATTTTAAAATAAGTTGATAGTTCCTTTTTGTATTACGTAGATTAGATAACATGTATTTCCATTCTTATGCTATTTTCTTGTTTGATTTAAAATGCAGTTTATTGGAATTATACATTTTTTGTTTTAATTATGTTTTGGATGCTATTTTACTGGGGAGAGCGTTAGACATAAACAGGAATGGTGCCAATTTTCGCCAAGGGGTACCCTGAAATTTATAAGTAAAAATAATAGTACTGAAACTGTTAAATCCTTTGAAATATGTAATATATTCTATTTTTAAGCATGCTTAAGTATATTAATATGTACTGTGCCTTAGATTTAAGCTGTCCCTTTAGAAATAGCATACTTAGCATATTTTGGTTGATCTTTGGATTATGGTAACTTGGCGATTTTTTGGCGACTAACTCTGCTACAGCAACCCTCTATTTTTTTTTTCGCTGCCATTTTGTTTTCATGAAGTAAAGACTTGTTTCTTTTCTTTTTATTTACTCAACACTTTTTCCAACAATCTACTAGCCAAATTACACTTATGCTAGAAATTTTATGTAACAAAACTGCTTAATCATGACAAATATTAACTGCAAAATTGGGGAAAAGTGCACAATCGCAAACTCCTTGCGCGTTTTTCAGAATAGCACATACACATAAACCATTTACACGTCGACTTATTTTTACTTAAAAAAACATCCCAGAATTGCACAAAAATGGCATTGCACACACTCTTAACTTTATCCATCTACACTGCTATTTTCTCAT